AAATTGGGCTCAAAGGTTTATTAAAATCAGAGTTCACAGGAATTTGTCAACCATGACCTCAAAGGTAAGGACCAGGGAGTGAAAAAAATGCTATCAACCAACATGCAGTGTACGGTACATGTACTTTACATGCTTCAAAAAGCTGGTGCTAGTAGTCTACCTTGATCTAATATTTGCAAAAAGCAGTCCTGTTACAGTAGGTTTGTTAGTGGTCCAGCTCCTTTGTAATTTATAGAGTTGCAGCTTTGTTCAACTGGTTTTGGATTCACTGCATGATGACCAACATTTCTAATCCTGATAAATGCATGTACTTGTAAAGGTAAAAGATAGATCTACCTACACTGATACTTTATCATATTAATCTCAGAGTTGGACACTTTAAATCAACTTTCATCAAACGATTATTAACCATTTACATTTACTTTAGTATTATTATTATTATTGGTCTGTTAAAAAGAGACTCGCGCAACCAAAAAGGCTGAATTGGGGTCTATTTATGAACAGAATGCCAAAAAAATAATCTAAATCAAAGCAAAACTTCCTATCAACCCATCAGATTATCTTAGTTTTATAAGTACTGACGGGTTCACAGAGGGGTGTGCCATTTAGAATGAGAAAACCTGGGGGAAAATACAAATTGGTTGAACAACATTTTTGCCCGTTTCAAAAACATTTTACAGTGTTGATTTAAATCACAGATCTAACAATAATCATATGAATCACAATTAAATCATTGGTTTTCATCAAGGTGATTTAAATTGATCAACTCTGATGTGTAGTAAATTGTTGCCCAGGTGAACCGGGCGACAGTCTAGTATGCTTGAACATCTGTACCTGATGTGTGGTTCCTCGTGCACACTTATATGTACATGTAGTTGACAGCAAAAATAGCAACTGACATGTGATAATTACTGGACCAGTGAGAATTAAGCTATAAAGTACTTGTACATGTACAGTAGAGTGAGTACATTTTGAATCCAAGCCCAGGGTATGGTAAGTTCCCCCAAGGGACAAAAACAATGTTTTATTTGAATTCAATCTGATGCATGATAAACTGTAGGATTCCTCTTTTGTGTTCATGTGCATGTACCGGTATATGTACATGTATGCACTTAAGCCAGGGGCCAGAAAAAATCGTAAAAGAAAAGTAAACTTCAGTTTTACCTGTGGGTAGAAAAACTACCATTACTCTGTCTGAAGCCATTGAAACGAATATAGACAGAAACTTGAACCACATGGACATATATGTACATATATGTACCTAAATGTGATGGTTGTACATGCCAACTGTCAACCAGGATGAGATTCAAAATCAGAGCAGGTAACATGAAGGTACATGTACCAGTATATGTGCATGTGTAATACCACAGTACCGACCTGGATTCCCATGTAACATTTGTACATGTTTATACAACTTGTAATATGTAAAAATCATATTACTTTGATTAATGAGCAATATTCTAATACCTGTACATGTACATGTTTAGGGTACATGTACATAATGTGTATATATCACTGGTACATGTACATGTACCTGTGAATTCATGTACCAGTAGGTATGACAGTGTGAAAGACTAAGTTTTGCTGGTTGTATTTTTTTCATTAATTAAAGAGTCCATATCTGTACAATGTCACATTCAGTACCTCCACATACATACATGTACATGTACATGTATGGGTAGGCCTACAATGTAAACTTGTTTGCACCTGTGGATCTTCTTACATGTGCTGCTTTCCATTTCTAGATTAGTAGATTTATAATGAATAGTGATTTTTTTAAAGTTTGTCCGAACAAATGGTGATTTTTAAATTGTGTCATAAATGTGTACTGTACATGCATGGAGCCTTTAACCTGAATTGATCTGGTTGGATTTATATTCTGCAAATCATCATAAATTCCTGGACAATTTGGTACTATGATCTGAAATAAAGTGATAAAAAGCTGTTGACATAATTTGACTGTATTGATCCCCTGGGCATTGATTGTATGCACCATTGTGATCAACTTCTTCATTGCAAACAAACAGTGGCATAATTGTGAGGACGGGCTGTAAAAACACCAAAGGCCAAACTTTTATCATGACAAACTTTGCAACTTGTGACAGACTAGCAACTGTACATTTATATTTTTTCCAAGCATCATTTCTGTAAGATCTTGAAAGAACCAAATGTTTCATAAATTAACCCTAAAAAGATCGTGAAACCTCCAACTTAGAAATTTGTGAAAATTGTATGGTTGCATTTACGTTTACATGTAGATGCAATGTGCAATATTGGGAATAATATGCCATTGTTTACAGTATCTGTTATCTTTAAGGGCAATAATTTTTCAGGATTCCAGAAAGGGTCTTACAAGTTACAACATACATTGTACTGATAACTTTAAATTCTTTGGAAATTTGGCACACGTACAGGAGCATTTAGGTCAAGTATGCCTGTTTGATTTGACGAAGAAATGCTGAGCACACGTTCACCCATTTGCAATTCAAAATACCTGCAGTACAGGAAAAGTTTTTGCAGTGCTAAAACACCTAACACCTAACACTACAGGGCAAGTTCGGGCACGAACTATACATGTAGCTCGACCAGTAGTCAATTTCTTTTTAACCAAAAAAGCGCATTCGCAATTCAGTTACACTCAAACAACTCTAGTCGGTCAGTTTCTTAAAATCCTATTGTTACACTCATTTCACTGTTGGCTGTGATTTTCGCAGCATACATGTACATGTCATTGAAATCTTGTACAATTATTTTCATGTGAATAGATCCCTCTGTAATGATAAATGAAATCGGCTATTGATAACCAACGGTGCAACCATACCCCTGGGCCTGGTCCCATATGGTCAACTAGATACATGTACGTGTAGTTCAACCATCCATCGTTTGGGCAGTGATAGTTGCAGTGTAGATATGTTCAGTGCAGTTGTACGGGTAGTTACAGTGGGATACTTTATATGTGTATGTAACACCAGTTGCTCTCTTACAGGGCAGTGAACAAGCTCTTATGTGTATGTCTGTCTTCTTCCATTTCCAGTTCCATGCAGATCATACACTGCTTTGATTAATGCTGCATCATCACTAACACAGACGCCACTGCATCTGCAAACTGTCACCATAAAGAGACTACATCTCAGCTTCATCCATTCTGTCTGTCCCTGCACCCCAAATTAACCAGGGGAAATATTACAAATGCAAAACGCTTTGGAAATGGTAGCCCTGTGGTAGCTTACACAGAAGTCCCGGAACACTGCATGTAAAGTGAGAGCAAGCGAGGCACATACCCCGAGGGGGATATTCTCTGATGGAGGAGGGTGAAGAGCTCGCCAGAATCAGTTCAGGTACTGCCAACAAGAACCATGGAGGTGGGTCCGCTCAGAGCTGCCCCGTGCTGTAGGTCAAAAAATGGGGTGAGGAATGGGGGCTGTAATCTCCATGCAATTAGGCATTGGAAAAGTGTGGCTGGTTTGTTACTGTTCACGAAATAGACGTGCCTGATGGTTAATGCATAGTGTACAATGTACACACTTTTTCAAATATTTCACCAATAGGCTCTGTCACTTTCAAGTGGCTTTGGCCTGTGGTAACACATACTGTATGTCTACAGGGAAAGGACAAACAGCCAGAGTGGCACATCCAGAATGTTCGGGCAATGTCTGAATCACTTTTTGTATGGCTGGAAATAATACATGTGCCTAGATCGAAGCTGCTATATAGCAGCTACAGGCTCTTCCCATGGACTTGTGTATCAGCCATAGCCAAGTAGTCTTGAAATGGCTTCTCAGGCTTCCATTTGCATACTATCGCTGCAGGTGCATATGTATTCACTTATACACTCCATCATTGCAAAAGCCCCATGGCTGCTCCAGAATTCCCTTTGAGACCATGCATTTTCATCAACAAGTGCCCCTGCCTGAGGGAAAATTGCCTTGCTCCTTCATCAGAGAGCAAAGACCCAAGCCTTTTCACTGTGTGTCTGGGAGTACGCATTGCCACTTGCCCTGTTCAAATGCCCAAATAAGTTGGAGTCTCACAGCTGCTTTAGAATCTGGTAGAACTTGTTTCACCTTCATTTACTGTATTCTAGTAGACATGTAGATTTACCTGTACATTCACTTGAAATGTTGAATTACTTGCTGAACAGTTGTCATGCTCTGCCCAAGTTACCAGGTAGTGGTTTCTTCATTTCTGACTTCAGCAAAGCAGTGTCCTCTAAGCTCTAATATGTATTTTTCTATCAGAACGGGAGGAGGGCATTTATACATTTACCATGTACATGCACTGGTACACTCAATCAAGGCCTTTTACAGAACTGAATTCCTTTTATAAAAATGGGCAAGTGGAGAAACAGATATTGTCAAGTTTTCTTTTCTTTCTTATCTTCGCTTGCTAGTCCCTTGTGTTTTCAACTGTCCTCATATCTACATGTACATGTATGTATATGTATATTGAAAGCTGTGCAAACTGTATGAATTGAACACGAAGGTCAGCAAATTCATTGCACCCTGTTGACATATGCTATTTACCTGCACTACACTCATCAAAGCTGTGGAGCTATTTATAACCAAGCTTGCTCCGCCAACCCAAGTTTTAGTTCCAAGAGAAAAATTTAAATACCAGTGTTTCACAGATATCCTTGCAAAGCATACATTGTACATGTATTGATACTGGGACAGTGTCAAAATATCAGTCCCAGTGTCAATTCTGACAGCTGTTCCCGTATCTCTGTTGTGAACATTATGCTTTGAGAAAGAATAATTTCATACACAGCGTTGATAGACACTTAGGGTCTTGCCTCTGTTGAACAACTTACCAGGAATTTTGATAAAGTTGTGTTTACAAATGCAGCGTACATGTACATGTACAATTTATGTATACAGCACATGAACTGTACATATTTGTAAAGAACACAAAGGCATTTTTGCTTTTTCCATTCTCTTTCATTTCTAGTTTCATCAGTTTGCTTTTGAGCATAAATTTTTTGGATGTTTTCCATTCTCCAGCAACTGCTTTGTTGGATGAGGACCAGCCCAAGAAACTGAGTGGCAAAGCATGGGGACGAATGGGGGTAAGATATCTGAAAAAGAAGTAAACACATACATACATGTAGCTTGTCAGAATGTAAAGTCCACTTGGAACTTGCAGCCTTAGTCTCTGTACCCAAAAAACACAATCTCGCCAGCCAATTTTTTTTTTTATTACCGTCCATTTTTTGCCTTTGTATAATTACCATCTGAAGCATCTGTAATTGTATGCTTAAAAATCCAGGTACTGTTTACATGTACATGTACGTGCGTCATAAAATTTTTAAATTGCGATTTGCATGCAGGTACATATGTGCACCAGTTCTTTACTCTTGACATTTATAGACCTTTCCAAGGGTCAGTTGACTCCTTTTTTAACCGTGCATTTACTACATGTACAAGCACATGTACATTACATTTAACAAATATATGCCATTACAAATTGAACAAAAAGTTGCACATTTTCTTGCATACCAGTAGCTAGGAAGTGAAAACTGCCTTGTAATGCAAATATTCAGATAAGCCTTGTATCACCTTACGGTGCTTGTCAATGGGCAGTCAGGAAGATCCTTCTTTGCACAGGTACATGAACTTGACATTTCCAAGACATGACCTTTACTTCTTACCTACTCGTATCTCAGCTGAATATCAACAGCTGCCGCCAATTTACCCTTGACATATCATTTTTGTTTTGTGGAAGGAGGAGATGCATTGTGCTTATTACGATAAATAATAGATAAACAAGAAGCACATGTACAGTACTAGTAAATGTGGGCATCTTACTGCTGATGAATAAATGAAAAGTTTTCAAATAGAACTTTAGAAAAGAAATTTCAAGTAAAATGGAAATTAAAGATGATGTCACAGTTGCCAGTTCAGTCCCGTAAAACTTGACTTTGTGCTGAAAGTACAAAAGTGTAACAAACATACAATCCACCATTAAAATTGATGATTCCTGAGAGTAATTCAAGTTTGTGCATGTCTGAATTAATTTTTTTTTTCTTTCAAATGGGTTATATTTAAAAGCAGTCCAAACTTTGAAAGTTGATTTGAATATGATCTACATGTCAGCTTACTGTCATTCCTTTGTAAAGATGCATATATGTAGTGCTGATATGCTTGTAGTTATGAGTATTTGTCCAACTTGTCTTGAAAATAATTGAAAATTTAAAGACAAAAATACAGTGAGACTGAGTTTACATTTAAATTGTGCTTTGTTGGAAACAGAAATTTTTAAGCGGCAAAGGGGAGTACCCAAAGAGCATTTTCTTCATCATCGGGACTGAGTTCTGCGAACGTTTCTCCTACTATGGAATGAAAGGTACATTTGTCTGCACGTGGAATTTGTCAAAGTGCAGTCGGTGCTATAACTAGTTTTTATGGTTATGATTCTTTTAGCCATAGAGTCAGGCTATACAGTTTGAGCCACAAAACAGGAAACCAAAATTACAGTTATTTAACAAAGGGCGATCTTTACCAGCATGGGCAAGGGATGACAAACGTGACAGATTCACTATGGCCCACAGACCTGCCACCCCTGGTGCTGGCAAAGGATAGGAACAGAAAATCTGTAAACTCGAAAATCCTTTTTACACCGGTTCAGTACCATACAATAGTGTATCACTGTTGAAGTAGAATGATGATAAAGCTGACAGGATTTCTCGCCAAGCTCGTACCTGTCATCGTGGTTAAGTTAATGCGTTTATTGATCTTTGATCTAGCATGTAAAAGGCTCTCCTTTCTACCGCTCATTGTCTGAGTTGACGCAACACTGATGCCATGCAAAGTACATGTAGGTCAGAGCTGGAGTATTCCCAGTTTTGATTGCCGTCTGATAAATTATGCTACTTTTATGCTATTTATATCTTGGAAGCTCAGCATCTTATGAATTGACTTGATGAAGTACAAGCCTCTATGCATACCATCACACAGTTTTACTCAAACCCGAATTCAGGAAACAAAAACCCTTCAGGTTTCCTGCTGATGAAGCAGAATTTCACTTTGAAAGTGCTGCATTCGGTCTAATCAATTTCATGGGCGCAAAGTGGTGACCACAATCAAATGAAACATTCAGACTTCAACAACTGCACTTTCAAATCAGACATTGCCGCTGTGTAAAGACAATTCTCCAAGATCTTGGCTTGAACATACCGGATACCACCATATTTGCACTGGGATATGTGGAACCAAAATATTTAATTGGAACATCAGAAGAGTAAAGACAACTTGTAAGACTTACGTGCTTTCTCTACAGATCTTGCTTGTCTCCAGGTACACTGCATGTTTTTTTTGGTCAGTTGTATCATTTTTAATGTTCAGATTTTTTTGAATCATTTTTCTCTCATTTCTAATGGCCCGGTGCTGCAGCCATCTTGGTACTATACCTGACCAACATCTTGCTGCTGGATGATGACCTCGCTACAGCTCTGTTCCATGCCTTTGCCATGCTGTGCTACTTCACCCCCATCTTCGGTGCTATGATCGCAGACAGCTGGCTGGGCAAGTACAGGTAAACAGACCATAGCTTGTTTGTATTGAGTGTGGTTGAGTATTCTGGCTTTAGGGATAGGGAGTTGCTGTCTTCTGTGTACTTTCATTATTTAGGAAGAGTGAAGTATCCCCACAATTATGGAATAAGTATGGTACAGTTCAACTGGAAATATATGCGCATACCGTTGCTATTTTTTACCTCGGCGTGCAGTAAACCATAACCTTGCACATGTTCATGGACGCGCCTTGGTGATGCGCTGCCTCTGAATGAATACAAGAGTGGCTTTGGAGACATTCTCAGGTGTCACGTACATGCGTGACTCTTTGAAAATATCCTTTGGAAGTGTTTAGAATCGCTCAAAAGCATCTACATGTAGGTGTATTGGTAGTATGGTAGTGAAATTTTTTCTGTCAAAATTGGGCATACATGTATATTTGTTGTTTGTACAT